AAAGTAATTGACATCGTTGACAGAAAATATGGATGTAAATAAGGGTGGCCTGTACGGTGCAGGTAAGAGCTTGCCCTCGGCGAGCCAGTCACCCCGGCAGATGGTAACTCAGCTACCGGCGGTGCGGTTCTTCTGCCCGTCATCTTGGGAGTCGTGAAACATGAGGTCGAGGTAAGCCTTTTCTCGACGTGTAACGGTCATGCAGATATCTTCACAGCCAGACAAAACAACCTCACGAGACCTCCTAACATGGACATAACGCAGTTATGTTACTCGCTGCAGCATTCATAACGCAAAAAAGGTGTGCCGCTCGAAAATATCAAATCCAAGATGACAAGAATGAATGAAATTAAGGTAACAATATAGAATTTTTTTCGGTTTACCAAGAATGTAGAGGTGAGATAGTGGTTTCAGTAAAAAGAAACTGAAGTGGTTGTGTTGCAAAAGTACGAACCGGACCAAAAAGTTGTATTAATGGATATGCTTTAATTTGATAACGGAGCAGGACGTTGAGCAGGTTTGTGTGTCGATGATTCAAAATAAATACTCCAGCGATATGATTGTTCATTTCGATATTTAATTTCGTAATGTAAGTAAAACGTCAAACAAATGGCAATTTTTCATATCTTTTATTTGCGGTCTTTTATTGATAGCATTTATTATGATGAGTGCAAACATTAGGAAAATTTGCACATAATCATTCCTGAGAGTCCTAAGACTGAGAGTCCTTCGACTGAGAGTACTAATACTGAGAGTGCTACGACTGAGAGTCTTAAGACTGAGAGTCTTAAGACTGAGAGTCCTACGACTGAGAGTCCTACGACTGAGAGTCCTACGACTGAGAGTCCTACGACTGAGAGTCCTACGACTGAGAGTACTAATAATGAGAGTCCTACGACTGAGAGTACTAAGAATAAGAGTCCTACGACTGAGAGTACTAGGACTGAGAATCCTAAGACTGAGAGTTACGACTGAGAGTCTTAAGACTGAGAGTCCTAAGACTGAGAGTCCTAAGACTGAGAGTCTTAAGACTGAGAGTCTTAAGACTGAGAGTCCTAAGACTGAGAGTCCTGAGACTAAGAGTCCTAAGACTGAGATGGTCACGTTTACTCTCACCGAAATAACGTCATGGTCACTTTTTTCTTAATTATACTATAGCCTCATTCTAGTTTCTTATAATTCCTATATATGCGTGACTAATTCCCATCTCAGTGAAGTTTCGGAGACACAAACTGATAAACAATTTAGGAGTTCCAAATTTACATAAAAAATACTCATCGTATAAGAAACAGCCGAGTATATCAAATTGCTGCATTCCAGATGCGCAGTACGATTCGTGCTTAGGATATGCATAAACTATTTCTGCATAACTTCTATGAAATTCTAGGCATTTACGACATAAAAATCAATCAATTGCTCGAATTTGAGGTTTCATTACATTTGAAAAGGTTGATGTACTGTTCGTTGTAAAGTTGATTCCTCGTTCATTTTTTTGGTAATTTGTTTGTGTAATCGTGCCACAAACAGCCACAGCGCTGATATCAAGCTGTCATAACATAACATAACATAACATAACATAACATAACATAACATAACATAACATAACATAACATAACATAACATAACATAACATAACATAACATAGCATAACATAACATAACATAACATAACATAGCATAACATAACATAACATAACATAACATAACATAACATAACATAACATAACATAACATAACATAGTGATGTCAGCGCTGAAGTGTAGGACTGATGTGGCCCATGATTGAACTAGTAGAATATAAAATATAGTTCAACCATGATGTGGCCTGTCGCCGATTCTTTTCTTTTCGTGCCTTGTTCACAGAAGATCTAAAATCGTGTCATTCGACCTGCGGATCTTTTCATGACTGACGATAGTTTGAAATGCTGAAGCTACTAGACTTCCACCGGGTTCGATATGGTGCAAGGCATTTCAAGTCGGGTGGCCCAGTGGTTAAAGTTCAGAGTACCAAGATTGACGCACTAGAGAGGTGCGGGTTCGATCCCAGCTCTGTGCGCCAGTTTCTGGTCAGAATCGGCGAGGAGGCCGGGCGGTTAAAGCACAGCAGAATTGTAGCAGTGCGTTGCGAGTTCGAGACCGCAAAATGCTGCGAATGTTCTGCGATGTTAAGAATCGGCGACAGGCCTACGGCCTAATAAACGCTGAAACCGCTATTATTATTATTATATTATTATATTAAGTCTGAACATATATTTTCCCATAGCTTTATCTAGTCTGTTCTTGAACGCGTTCATACTCGGAGCGCCAACGACGTAATTGGGGAGGCTGTTCCACATGTCGGTGATTCGAAGCGGGAAGAAATTTTGTCGCGTGGATAAGTTGCAGCGCATTTTTTTTAACGGAAATGGTAAGATTTTGACCGTAGAGGCAGCTACCGTCCTAGCACGACCGTAATTAATTTACACGTTAATTGATGTCATTAATTTACATATTGTCACATTTACATGTCACGTTAATTAACATTCTGTCACATTTACACATCACGCTAATTTACATTCAGTCACATTTACATGTCGCATTAATTTACATTTTCATTTCATTGCAATCTTCCAAAATATGTTGTCAGGATGATTAGGTGCCATTCATTCAAATGATTTCAAATCGCACGTCTTATTTAATATTGTTAAATACTAGCAAGTCTCTGTTAATATTATTGAAAAACTTACGTCACGAACTGTTCTAAACATTATTTCACAATTATATCACTGAAATTATATTCACAAAAATTTACAATGACACCTGTCATAAAAGTGAGTGTATGATCGTTGGGCATTGGTTTAACACCAACTTTTTCAATAGTAAATAAGGAAAAGTTTTCTATGTATTTTGTGAAAACTTATTTCTGGGTAGGCTGATTTAAAATGTGTAGCAAACAGTTCGAACTCGACTCTTTGCATTTGATTTAATAACACATTTCAACGGATGTTTTCGATTCATTCGATTAATTATATGATAATAAGACTTACTGTACATTATGAACAGAGGTGGGCAGTAGCGCGCTACATGTAGCGGTGGCGGTAGCGGCGCTACATTTAAGCAATTGTAGCGGTAGAGTTAGCGCCCGCTACATATTTAAGTAGCCATACGAGGTTTTGCCGTTACAGCGCTACCGCTACATTTATAGATAAAGCCTTTAGATTTTACTTAATAGTATTAAATATTATTTAAAAACGAGCATGATACATACATAATATTAATTACAGAATAAAACTGTACGAAAGATTTTGGTGTAATGTTGTCAACCTCTGCCTGTTACTAGTGTCAACATGTTAGTTGTTACTTGTTAAGTTGTTACCAGTTACCACTTAAAGGTATTTTTTCATGTTTCAGTTTGCTTACAGTTATTTTTGCACAGTTATTTTTACGTTTCATCTTCCCTACATGGATATCTACTATAATCTACCAATCTCAAAAATAATCCACATATATATACCAATAAAAGATTGATTTTTCATATGTATATGTGGATAATTTTTGAGATTGGTAGATTAAAGTAGACATCCATGTAGGGAAGGTAAAACATTTGTAACTTTTATTTACTGTATCTAACCCATACTAGTTCGGATAGGTTAATTGCAATAAAGTTGCATTGATAACAGTATGTTTTGAAAATGTTTTATTATCATTAAATGTTTATGAGTAAATCCCAATAGCAGAACAATAAATATTTAGAGATTTCCGAAAAATTTGGCCATTGCAGCGGCTAATGTAGCGGCGCTACATTTTACTGTAGCGGTGCTACATTTTACTGTATCGATAGCGGTAGCGCTTGCTGCAATCTAGTGGGCGTAGCGGTAGCGGTAGCGCTGCTACATTTAAAAGTAGCGCTGCCCAGCTCTGCTGATAAGTGGCAGCTGCGTTGTGAAAAGTACTTCACTTCGGGAAGAACAATGAACAGCAAGATTACAGTATGAGAAGACATGGTTGCAACGAGAGAGTAATGATTAAAAAGTCTAGTTTTGAAAAAGATTTGGGAGTTTCTGTCGACAATGAGTTGAAATTTTCTGAGCATTTTGAAACGCAAGCTAATAAATACAACGAACCCCTTGGACAGATCAGACGCTCTTACGAGTTCCTAGATGCGGAAGCGATGAAGCAGTTGTTTGTTGCTGTCGTGTTGTCACCAGAGGGACTACTAAAATTTGAAACAAGAACCAACACCAGAAGCCACGACTATAAACTAAAAAAACTGCGTTGCAACTCATTCACGCGACAACATTTCTGCTCGCTTCGAATCACCGACATGTGGAACAGCCTCCTCGATTTTTTCGTTGACTATCAGAGTATAAACGCGTTCAAGAACAGGCTAGATAAAGCTATGGAAAAATGTATGTTCAGACTTGAAATGACTAGAACCATACCGAACCCGGTGGAAGTCTATTTAGTAGCTATTTTAAATTATCGTCAGTCTTGAAAAGATCCTGTCAAAGGACATGCTTTTGGATCTTCTGTGAACAAGTCAGAAAAGTACAAGAATCGGCGACAGGCCACATCAGGCCTACTCTTCAGCGCCATCACTATGTTATGTTATGTAAAAGGAAAACTGCAATGAGCTGAAGTTGAAACTTGAATTGCATTTGTAGGCACTGCACTCTTGTCATCGGAATATTTAAGAGCCTGGGCTTGGTTATAGATTTGAAACAAATTTTAAATGAGGTGAAATACAAATATATAAGTCAATTTGTTTATTGACCAAAGCCTAAATAAATGCAATCGTTTTGCTTGGGATTTTCCCATTCAAGTACTTTTATTAAAAAATTTTTACACATTACTGTTATAAAAATATTTGAATAATTTATCTTGCTCAATTCAATTTGTACAACTAGGTTTAAATACTTTAGACCCTAAATTTTGTGCATTATTCATCCCAAAACAACAAACACCATCTGCTTGTGGAGGATGAACGGCCACGTACGTGAGGATCAAAAATAAAAGCAGCGTGTTAAGTCAAAATATTTATTTCCTATTGAAGCGTAATAATATATTTAAAAAACGACCGTTTAATAGCATTTGACCACAAGATGCACAATAAAGCAGTCTACATTATACATTGAAAGGCGCAACTTCTCTAGTTTCTGACCAAGCTGTTTACTTCAAATACTTTTCATCTGTAAACCAACCTCAGTGCAACCAACCTAATCAATTTTGTGATGTGATTCATCCTTATTTTCTCTTACAATGAGAGGAGCGCATTCCAGCTACAATGAGTCATTGATACAAGGACACATTTGCTTCGAAATTCGGTAATGGGGTAAGCTTGGGCTAACATTTGCTGGTTTTATGCGCCTTCAAACTTAATTACTCTGAAATCCCGCGACCACGAAGCCACGACCTCATTATGCATAAAAAAAAGAATTCACAATTGTAAGCTAATTCAATAAAAAAAGCTTTACTGCTCGCTGGAATTGATGAAAATGAGGGGAGGAAAAAATAATTCACAGCATGAAATATAAAGAGAATATAAAGTTTGTGGTAACCGGAACGCACACACAATCACATCCACATACAACGATCAGACGGAGGCACACAAATCGTTCTTATAATTTCCTCCATGACGTGTAACATATGAACAAAACAAGTAACGACAGCAGTTCCTGATTCTGTGGCAACAACCACCACACCAACGTAAGCCGCGCTCACGCATTGCAGTTTTGCGCGGCCGTACATAGGCTGTCTAGTACGCAGCCGGGTGGTCGCAACAGAGTTTTTTGTCTTCCTCCATCGCAGATACCGGGCAAAGTTGTGAAGTATTTAAAGACGAACCAGTTTGAATTAAAGCTAAAAAATGTTTATAACTGAAAACTTCAGAAGTTTTCATGTGATAACGAAGTGTTATCGAAAACTGAAGTGTTTGAAGCTACCGTGACGCTTCTGAACGATTCATGGAAGTCCTATTGGGCTATACAGAAGTATGTAAAAATTCGAGCATGAATTTATAACGTATACTTTAAAACGGAGCCCTAATTATTCATAGGCGTTCGACGCTCTATTTTTGGTAGGAAGGTAGTTCATTTCTTCCATTTTCTTATGTCATAACAAAAAAGCAATTAAGACGAAATAATTCTTCACAAACTAATGAGCAAAAAGTAATCATAAGAAATATAGTTCATCAATGTCGCGTTTGACGCCGTACAAGATAATTGTATTGCTTAATCAGTTTAATTGTATTATGTGCAAAACAACATTAGTATAACGAAGCAATAACGATATGTACTTTTCTTGTTGAACGAATGTAGAGCAGAATCGTTGAGTTTAACCTCTCATTCCGTTCGAAGAGAAAATATTATTTAAAATTAAATCTTTAAAAATGACAACTGGTTTAGTCAGACTAGATAATTATCTGTACAATATTATACATTGAAATGCTTACTTTTCGAAAATACCAATTGAGCCCAGTGCTGCAACGCGAAGTTAAAGAACAAGTCGATAGCCTCGGACATGCTTGAAAATGCATCGGGTTCTCTCCCCATTGAAACAATTTTGAAATTCCGTGTTTGTAGATTTCATTATCAGTGTTTTTAATAATAATACATTATAAATAGTCTCATATACTCTAATAATACAGCCAAAACGAATCTCAACAAAGAAACTTCCCCTGGAGACACAAGAACTTACATAAACAGGAGTCACATTCCTGATCCTTAGTCTGAAGCGATAAGTTTTTAGCCAATCAGGAAACTCTCGCTACATAAGTAATTGCCGCTTCAGAAAGTATGATGAGCGTAATGGATCTGATGGAAAATTTCACAGAGTCCGATTAAAGAGTCGTGTTACATTTGCAGGAGTAAATACAGAGGGAGCCGCTTCAAGGTTCAAAGAGAAATATGTGAATTGTATGCACAAAAAAATGCAGATAATGAAGAGACTGATTAATTTACAGGGTTATAGTGCAAGCTTGTGTAGTTATATATAGATATAATTTTTTATAGCTGCACTTTTAAGACAATGTGAACGGAACATCATCGAATTCAAAATTAGTGTGAGATTAAAGAAGGTAAAAAAAGAACTATACGGTTCAGTATTCGCACATTATTTGCTTAGAAGCTTTTGCGGCCTAGCCTATTTTGATTGTAAACTCTCTCATTACAAAAACTTTTTTTGAAGAAAATATCTGTAGGAAAGTAGAATTGCGCATAACTAACCAATAATCACAAATAAATATAATCATTAATATAAAATCGGTGCAATGTGTCCCTCAGAAAATCAGACGACATGCACAATTTTCTAATCACCTAACAGTGAGCGTACCTTTTTGGGAAGCACTACGCGTTTGACGAGCCCTATGCTAGCGTTAGCTGCAATTTTGTATGAAGGGTGAGGCTACAAATAAACTTTGTTATGTGATATGTAAAATGCTTGAGCAGATGCAAACCAAAATTGAAATGAAATTGCAGATGCGAAACCATTAATTGAATTTTAGGATATAGTTCAATGCATAATCTGGTAAACTTAAAGCTCATTCTTCAACACCATTACGTATGACAATTTCACCTCATTAATCAAATGAAAAAAAAATGTTTACTAAGGATGAGGAGAGCAATTAGATTAAGATTATATAATTGAAGGACGCACGGTTTAATTTAAAAACGTTTTAAGATGCGTCCTCCACGCACACCAGAACAAGCTAAGGCTGAAGTTTATTCAAATCACAACCATAAATCATCGGAAAAAAAAATGATTTTATTAATGTAAGCACGCTACCGAAAGCTGAAACTACTCAGCGACATTCTTAGAAATAAGAAATTAAAAAGCAACGAATAACTGCCACGGAGAGCTAATTAATTAATTAAGTTATGCGACAAGCTGCACTTAATTGGTCTCCACCGAACTGCGAACACTCCTACCCTTCGTGTGCAAAAAGTTGTAATTACGTAGCTGATAAATATCTGATAGAAATATTTAAACAATTACTAGAATGCAATAACTGCCTCGGTACATTATTTTCTGAGTCAGTTTGATTTTGGTTTTAATCCAAAGTCAATTTAAATGGTTAAATGGTAAGGGTAAGTCCAATCTTAAGCTTTTTCAATGTTAACCATTTTATCTCAAACGCACGTAAAAATGTCGGAGCTAAAAAACTATATAGATTATAAATGAATGGGTAAATGTCTCTTTTACCTTGAAATATAAGAAGAACGATGAAGATCTGGGAATAAGAATTTTTGAGCGTATCTGGGACATATACAGTATAATACAAGATAAATATAATATAATACAAATTACTAGGTTAATTCTACTTCTTAAATATCTCCACACTTGATAGAGCCCCTAGTAGCTTGCTTGAAAATAATATTCTGGCACTTGAACGTCATTTATTTCCAAATAAAATTATATTGTAAGTTTCCCCTCAAACTTAGAAAAATGAGACTCAACCCAAACGAGATCGCTTTCAAGCCCAAAGTGTCTTATAGATCTGGATTTGTCTTTGTGACGCTTCCATGAAATGAAAAAATACTTGATTCCAAAGCAGTATTCATAGCAATATATAATTTATTTTTGATAATATATTACAAATGGTGAAATATTTTCCATTTACCGGAAATTTAAGCAGGTTGCCCTGAAACGTTTATTTTAGAAAACCTCCGTGATATTGATGCACAGGCGACAAACGACACAGCATTCAAGAATTTTTCTCATTCAACTTTGGGCAAAATAATTTTTGAGCGAATTTATCTTGGACTGTACATTTCACCGTGTCGTTGGGATTCCTCTCACAATTTTACTGAAAATAAAGTTTAATGCACCAGGAAAGTGCATGGTATCAAGTAGACAAACTACTGGCGCAGTTGAAGTCATTGACGTGTTGCAGCTGTATTGTTCTCACGCTTGCCTTAACACGTTACGGTGTTTTATATAATTACCCTATCGACAAGCATGTGTAAGTTAAAAATATTTAAAAACTAGTTACATTTAAAATACGTCACAGATCTTCGTTATCAGCATCAGCAAATGTGATGCATTTCGAGTTTTTCCGCCATACACCACAGATGTGCAAAGCTCTATTTTGGTGCGCACTGGCAACTAGATCACTTTTGTCCGACATCCGACGGTTGCTGGTTTCGGTCAAAGTTTCTTCACCCAGCTGGTTCTCATGTGTGAACTATTAGCAGATGGTTCTCATACGTGCCACATCAGCAGGTGGTTCTCATACGTGCCACATCAGCAGGTGGTTCTCATACGTGCCACATCAGCAGGTGGTTCTCATACGTGCCACATCAGCAGCTGGTTCTCATACGTGCCACATCAGCAGCTGGTTCTCATACGTGCCACATCAGCAGGTGGTTCGTAGAGTCGTCTCGCCCCGCGAGCTCCGACGCGTTCGCGTTTCTGAAGTCTTCGCTACCGTCGCCTCCTGAGATCACGAGCAGCTTTGTCGGGGCCGCCGTGCCAGCCTGCGGGATCATTAGTGCACGTCTTAGTGTAATAACAGACATGCAATAAGTCTTAGTGTTAACGCAGACATGCCTTGAGTCTTAGTGTTAGCGCAGACATGCCTTGAGTCTTAGTTTTATCGCAGACATGTCATACGTCTTAGTGTTATCGCAGACATGCCTTGAGTCTTGGTGTTAACGCAGACATGCCTTGAGTCTTAGTGTTAGCGCAGACATGCCTTGAGTCTTAGTGTTAGCGCACACATGCCATAAGTCTTAGTGTTATCGCAGACATGCCTTGAGTCTTAGTGTTATCGCAGACATGCCATACGTCTTAGTGCTATAGCAGACATGCCATACGTCTTAGTGTTATCGCAGACATACCATACGTCTTAGTGTTATCGTAGACATGCCATACGTCTTAGTGTTATCGTAGACATGCCATACGTCTAGTTATTAATCAACAGCAAATTTGAGCATCTGTTCGTAAATATAATGCAATAATATAATTAAAAATAAGTTAATCGTGACCACAGGACGTGGGACCGAGTAGGAGTAAGTGCAACTTAAAATGGAGGCGAAATAAAACACAAAGAGGACGGCAGCAGACATATCAGCTCACCGGATGAGAGTCTTTGCTTTTAAACGAGGCTGCGGACCTGGAGTGTGACTTGGCACGGGCAGGTCTCGCTTCGGGCGTCAGCTCAACGCACGTCAGGAACCTGGACAAAATGATAAATAATAAATAATACGATAAATAATATGATTAATAGATAAATAATGTGTCTGTCGTTAGTTTAAGTCAACTTTACAAATAAGTTTTATTATCTTTCAATCAGGAGATGCAGATTTAAAGAGAGAAATCAACAAAAGGCTGCAGGTACTGCCTCAAGGTTATCAATATATTGTACATTATCAGAAATAAGAAAGATGGTTTAGTTGGTTATAGATAAAATCAGCGGATTTTACATGTGTCTTTTAAGTAGCTCTGAAGAATCGTCGGATGATTGACGCAGATTCCGGAAATAATACGTTAATTTACATCGAATAAAATAGACTTAAATCGTACGTGAAAGAATAAAAGAAATTACCTGCAAGCGTTTAGATACGCTGTGAACGTTTATAATAATAATGGTGGTTTGTTATATAGGAAATAACTCGGTCACAATTCCCTCCCGCATGCTTGTTATAATTATAATATTTTTGCTTCTCATATTTCCAAGTAGATTTGAGTTTATTTATGTCAGAGGAAATAATTTCTGAGAAATACACGCGTATAGTAACTATTTCAATCACTTATTTATTGGTTTGCTTACCTGACTTGTCCCGTATGGCCATGGGGCACAGCTTGCAAATTAAGTGCTGCCGAGGCAGGGTGATGACTGGAGTGGTGAGGTTTCCAGTGAGGATGTGAGTGATGATGTTGCTGGTGGTGTGGCAGGTGGGGCAGTGGGGCGGTGAGCACCACACCGGCACTAGTGCCCACCCACAAGACGTCCTTGCATGCTAGCAGCGCCGTGACGCGCAGGCACGCTAGCTTGTGCTGCCGGATGATGTCGTCGCAGCCTGGAGACGCTGACCCCAACAACAGAATTACATGTTACTATACATAAGATTATAAATAACGTTCACATAGGAAACTCAATGAGGGTTTATCAATCAATGAGGGTTCATCAATCGATGAGGGTTCATCAATCAATGAGGGTTCATCAAGCAATGAGAGTTTATCAATCAATGAGGGTTATCAATCAATCAGGGTTTATCAATCAATGAGGGTTCATCAATCAATAAGGGTTCATCAATCAATCAGGGTTCATCAATCAGTCAAGGCTCATCAATCAAAGAAAACGAAAAAAGAATAAGGAAACGAAATAAAAGTATCCATAGATTGTAGTGGCACAAATATGGGAGAAAAATTGCAGCAGTGGCAAGTTGAATTTATTGTGTTATTAGCACACAGCCAATAGAAGTGAATTGACTTGCGTAAAAACGATTATGTTAACTCTCATGTTAATGAGCTCTACAGTTAGTTTTGTTGAGATAAATGGGCATTTTAAGTTTTTCGTGACTAGAAATGTTTCTTGAACTTAAAAAAATAACCTAATGTCGTGAAAAAATCTTATAATAACCGTTATTGTGGGAGGCTGAAACAAAAATTAATGCGCGTACTCGTTCTATTCATTAAAAATGGCAGCCAAGAAAGTGTCCAGGAACTTTCAGCGCAATATAAAGCGTGGTATGACTGGTCGACAGGATGGTATCAGGACAAGAAACTGTAGTACTTACACGCGAGCATCTTGGTGACGGCTGGAGAGACGTTGGCTTCACAGAGACATTCGTGTGAGGTAGCATGGTACAGACGTACGATAGATGAACCATGTGATGATAACCATACACCCTGACCAGCCGACACCATACACGTCACCCCACCACACTTGGTACCTTCACCACCCGCTACCGTAAACGAGTGCTGTAAGTAAAGTCACGGAATTTACACGGTGAAATATAAGCGGGCTCTTACCTTCCAATAATATTGAGCAACGAATTACTTTTATAAAAGCCGAAAAATTTTTCGTAAAGATTATGAATACAAGTAATTGTATTTTAGGTTACCGTAATTCATTGATGACAAATAATAAGATCATAAATCAATGACAAGTCCGTCTCCATGGAGACAGCTGCAGCTTATAATGAGGCGATCAGGCCGTTTCACTAACTTTCGTCTTCATTTTCAGATCATTAAATGTGATACTAAATTAATAAAAATTCATCAAAGTTCCTCGAAATTGAGATCAGAATTAGACTCGCACACATAATGTACGCTTGCCCCTGTTTTCGCAGTGATGGTAAAAATATCAAAAAATCTACGGTAAAAAAATATTTAGAAAATAAACACTCTGTCAACAAAATTGGTTGTTTTTTCAGGCCAGAATTTGAATTAGACACGAACTACGTGAACAAGAGTTGGTATCATACATCTGATGCAGTTCGATCATTCATTAATCGAAAACAATCGTCATTAATTACGATTGCAACATACATTTCAAAATTTTTGGTGAAATTTGACCAAAAATAATCCTCGGTTGTGATCTACCAAACTATTAGAATAGAAACAACAACTAAGAAGCAAATTCATTTATTGAAAACATTAATTGGTGGCCACCTCGAAACCTCGTGAGAAATACAAATAGATGCTCGAGTGTCCACTATGACAGATTTGTTATAGTAAAACTCTTATCTATCACTCAAACCATTAATTTTATTTTCTATTTTCCTAGTGGCATGTCGTAGAAGAAATATATAAAACAAAGGTGAAGTGAGCAATGGTCCTCAATGCCTTACCTCAAGTTGCAGCGTATTTGTGTTGAGTATTTTGATGGTATTGGCAGCAGCACACCATAGCTTGCCAGCCACCAGGATCATTTTGATGACGGGCGCCGCGGCAGAGCTGACCATCACCACTTCGCGGTCCACTTTAGCGGACCACGAGTCGTCGTGGCGCGTGAACACAACCACCTCTCCGCTGGCCAGAGACGCAAATACGCGGTTGTCGAGAGGACTGAGGAATGTACAGAGACGTTTACAACTCTTGATATGTAAAAACGGTCCATATACTTCACAGTATTGGCTTTGAACATAAACGAAGAAGTTTTTTCATTCATGCGTCACCAACTATAGCACTAAATTGTGTTGACATGAGATTGATTTTGTGGATTAAATTTATCTAACTTTTAAATCGAAACTGCCTTTTAAAAGTTTGGAGTTGAGAGAATTGATCACTGTGGTTACCTTCAGAATGTTTAATATGCCTCAAATTTAATATGCCGCAAATATTACACATTTCATCATCTTTGTGACGAAATAATCGACCTATCATTGTTTAATATTCCATTCAACAAAGCTCCAGTAAATGATGGAAATTCGTTTACAGTTGATAGTAAGAGTTTTGATCATTCAAGCCTCACATTATAGAGTGAACAGATGACCCAAGTTGGAACTTGAACTTGTTCTTCTTGATCCTGATGCTGTCCGAGCAGTTGTAGACGTGGATGAAGCCGTCCTCGGTACCTAGCCACATGGTAGGTCGTCGTGCATCGCCATCGTCAGCCGCGGCGCCGCTGCTCGCCGAAGAAGCGATGTTGTTGCTCGGTGGCAGGGACTCGCTGCGACGCTTGCGACCGCTGTCTTCGGCACACGTGACATCCTCATCGTCGTCGTCGTCACTTGAGTCACTGTACACATTATAATAGCCGTGTACATACTTATAATAGCCCTGTACACATTATAATAGCCGTGTACATACTTATAATAGCCCTGTACACATTATAATAGCCCTGTATACACTTATAATTGCCCTGTACACACTTATAATGGCCGTGTAAACACGTTATAATAGCCCTGTACACACTTTGCGCTGCGTTTAAATACTAGCGAAATGGTTACTTTATGATAATTTAAATTAACGAGACAAATATGAAATTAGCCCTTTCATATTATGAAACTGTTAACAGTTTTAAACATTTATTTGCAGTACAGAGCAACGCGTACAAGTTGCATTGAACGAAAAGGAACTGGGACCAATTGTGCTACCTTCACGACTAAGGACACAATTTTATTAGCGCTGTGATGAAAATGTCGACTTTATTGGCCGTATATAAGATCATTTCATTATCGATACTGTTTTGGAAAAAGGCTAAAAAACGGAATTGGGAGAAAATGCGTCAGGAATTCAAATTAAAAGATCAAAATGAGAAGTTAGAAACATCGCAAGAAACTTTAATTAAAAGGAAGGGTCACGCAAACAAAAATATCACCATATAAAGCTCAAGAGATTTCTGTTATTGGGGTTCATAAAATTTGAAACTTTAACGAACTCAATCAGTCCTTTTCGAGTGAGTATGAATAATAAACTCACAAGAACTCATAAAGAAAAAATTCTTGTTGAACCAAATAAACGATCATCGGTCATGTTTGAGTTTGAGTTGTTAGAAAAAATCGTCATTATTAAAATTTTTTATGCCTGTCACCTGTCATCTCTACTAGTCGCCGATCGGCCGACATCAGACCTAAACTTTTTGAAACTGTCAAGGCCGCGCTCTACCAACTGCTCCAAACCACCGTCGGCTGTTGGCAACCGCCGGCGTGACGACCGAACTCGGTTTCTGAGTGTCATGGTGGACGGTGGGCGACTCAGCGTCTTCGCTGGTTCTTCGGCCGCACTTCAATAGGGAAATATGAGCTGTGACTTACGGGACTTGAGATTTCAGGTATTGATTAAAACATAGTTATCTGTTGTACCATAGGATTAAAAGGAATAAAAGTCGCTGATTAGAGTAGGAAAATAATTATAGACGATATTGTTAAACCTCCAGTATGAAAATGAGACAATTGAGATGTTTAAACGTAATTGAAGGAGTGGGAAAAGATAGCGATTTCACAATGAAAATTTGCTAGTGATTTCCAGAGTAACAACGTCACTAGGGTAAGAACCACAGCCGAGAAACATGGGTTGATTTTCAAATTGAGATATGATGAAGACTGCATCAGCGCTGGATAGCAGTGCTTTTAAACAGATTTCGGTTATTGGCATATTTCTGCTCAGCCGTGGCGCTTTCGATGGTCTCAATGGCCTGAGATTGACGTCGGCCATAGGGGTAAATTAACCTCTAACCCTGGGTTTTTTACTGACGAAAAATGAGATGTGCAAGCAGCCAGAGCATTAAGCTGGCATAAAAGGTATCAATATTAGCGAGCCTGAAATCAATAGGACGCCAAATTGTGAAAGAATAGAATGAAGAAGTAATGATATTTGTATATAAACAACGTACCAAATAATGGCGTATAATGTAATGAATCGTATAATGTAATGAATATGACACCAGCGTAAGGTGTCATATTTAGTATCGTGCAATTTCTATCATTTTCTTAAATGAGAGAATTTCAATATTTATGTTCGCAGCTAAGATTTCATTATTTTATTGTGATAAATAATGGTAAATATGAGAAAATGTACGGAATATGTACTAAATATTTGCTTGAAAATTGTTCTTATCCGCAATTGGAAAACTGAATTAGAACCGGCGATCACCTGGAAATTCAGACGTTAAAAATATATATTTCCATCACGCACACACAAGAATATCAGCAGGAATCCTAGCTAAGGAAAAAAATTATCTTCTGCGCATCTCATCGATTCCCTACTTTAATATAAGGAGGAAATGCAAGGATCCAAGACGACGTCTGCTTCTCAGAAATGCATATCCGTTCTTCTATAACGGAGAGATCTTCCACTACTGCATTCCAAGAATGATTGGAATGCACCACTACGACTATTTCTACTAGTACTGCAACGACTAAGGCAACGACGAACAATTTATCCACTAAATCATAAGCGAAAAACACATTGTTTGCTAATGCAATAAATGATGTTGAGTTACTGCAAAATTTGCAGATATAAAATGATGATTAAACGTGTAACAAAATTGTCCCATTCAAAATATAATTCATAGCGAATAGTAGGTGCCTGAATCAACATAACAAATTGAAATAATTTACCGTGTAGTGCCACATTGTGACAATTAATATCTTCATTAGATTTTATATAAATTCAACAACTTTATATACTAAATAAAGTGAATTTGTAATGAAAATTGACAGTAGAATGCGAGTGACCTTAGTGTTTTATTCAAATTGTTGGGTATGAATAGGTAATTCATGTAATAGGACGAGAGTGTCCGAGAAACGCTGCATTGTATATGAATAAGGAATTGAAACAAGTAGTCAATAGTATACATGGAATTTATGAATACATTGAAGTCAGGTATAGAAAAGTGAACCCAACTCCTGCTGTGACCATCATTAGGTATCATACACTATGGTGAACATATTGGAAATAATTACCAATGCAATGCATATAAATACACCACGGCACAGCGGCGGTACTGACAGACTTTGTGCAGCGGCTACGGTGAACATATTGGAATTAATTACCAATGCAGTGCATATAAATACACCATGACACAGCGGCGGTACTGACAGACTTTGTGCAGCGGCTATGGTGAACATATTGGAATTAATTACCAATGCAGTGCATATAAATACACCATGACACAGCGGCGGTACTGACAGACTTTGTGCTGCGGCTATGGTGAACATATCGGGAAATAACTCAAATAAGTACCAATGCAGTGCATATAAATCATATAAATACACAATGACACAGCGGCGGTACTGACAGACTTTGTGCAGCGGCGACGGAGGCGATGCTGAGGATGCGGGCGTTGCAGACGCCGTTACAGCAGGCGACCGCAGGCTCAGGGTGAAGGCTAAGAACGCAGACCTGGCCTACGTAGCCGTCACTGCACGGCAGGCGTACCCAGGGTTATTTTAAATGATGGACACAATTTTATAAATTCGTATTTATTAATGTATAAATTCAAAATAAATAATTTATACACCAATGGAAAGAAAAAGATTAAGAATTTTTGTTTAACCTATTCAAACACGGAACTGGGCGGCGGCGGTATAGTTGCATAAACTTGGTATAAATAATGAATTATACCATGCATAAATTTATGACATAAAAATAATTATACCACTTATATTTATGGGGAAAAATGTTTATTATACCATGCATAAATGTGTGAAATAAAGAATGCTGGTAGTAGGACTCAATGAGGTTTGGGATGGAAAGGGGTAGGTAATGACAAAATTTGAAGATTTGTTTGGTAACTTGGGAAGTTGGTAAGGATTAGAAATAAAGCCGTGGATGGAAAGTGACTAGGATGTATGATGCAAAAAAGTAAATAATAAGGGACGGTTAATTAATAGAATATTTGATAATAGTTACACAAAAGATTTGTTACAGATATGTAAATAAATGTTGTTTTCGATTAAGATATAAAAGATTGATGAAAGTTACAAAAAATGATGAAAGTTATAGTTATATGTACATGCCTGTGCTAAACTATTGCACACCAGTTCACCACAGTCACCTGTTGCACACCAGTTCACCACAGTCACCTGTTGCACACCAGTTCACCACACTCACCTGTTGCACACCTGTTCACCACACTCACCTGTTGCACACCTGTTCACCCCACTCACCTGTTGCACACCTGTTCACCACACTCACCTGTTGCACACCTCTTCACCCCACTAACCTGTTGCACACCCACACGTCGCGCAGGTTGTGCACGCTGAGGCCGGTCGTGGCCGCGGCGCACGTGAACTGCAGTCCAGCGCGCGTCTTGCGCACCGGCAGCGCGCGCACAAACTCCGGAGGAGGCCGACGGTCAGCTGACATCGCTGCAACACGACGTAGCGGTCAGACATATATACACGTCAACTGCAACACGACACAACGGTTAGACATATATTATACACATCGCTGCAACACGATGCAGTGGTCAGACATATACCATACACATCGCTGCAACACGATGCAGTGGTCAGACATATATACACGTCAGCTGCATGGCTCGAGCACTGACTGGACCTCAGCTGAATGATCCGATCACTGATTAGGCATCAGATAGATCGCTCAAATACTGCCTAGATACAACTTGAATGGGTAAAGTACCACTTAGACCTATGCTGAATAGTTCCAGTCATTGTCTAGAGTCTCTAGACACTAGCCGAAAATAATGTCGAGAAATCAGCGGGATAGCTCAGGTATTGCCTAGAATTCTTTAGAAAATTTCAAGCACGGCTAAGATGAGTAATTCTAATGCGGTGATACACGTACTACTGGTGATATGTTAAAGCCTTTCAGGTGGAACGCCAACACTTCGGGATTGGAACGATTAATATTAATATATTTTACTCCCAAAAATATCTAGTATCTAACACATTTTAACTTTGCAAGGGTTTACAACGGTTGCCACGTGTCACCCATCTGTTCAGAGTGGCCCACATTTCACACATAAAAAAAAACACAACAAATTATTGTGTTGAGTATAATTAGCGCATGGAGTTAGTTATAATAATATTGCATATTAGGAAATAATATGTAATACTTGAGTATTTTTAGCATTTTTTAACACCGACCCCTGTGTCGCAATGCAGTCCCCCTAAACACGGCAAGGATCTTCCAGAATTATTTATGTCCGAGAGCTTATTTAGAGTTCTATTTAATTTTTATTAATTAGAGTTCTACTTAGAGTTCTATTCCTATGTGTTAGCAATATTATCCACTTGCTCAAAATCACCGAGTTTCCGATCTATCACTAGATTCACTGAAACATATTGAACTTAAGCATGTCTCAGTATGTGTCTCACCGAGTTTCTGCTTGGCACCAAGGAAGGCCTCCTCCCAGTTGGCGCGCTTCTCCGGGTTGTGGAACAGGAATGTTATGTTCTCCACTCCCTCCCTGCGTAGATGAGAGAGATAATTGTTAGCAATGAAAAAGCAGCACGACGGAAATTACCAATTAAGGACTGGAAACAACGAAACTTTGTTTTCATTTTTCATTTTCGAGAACTTTTTCAATGAACCTGCTAAAAAAAATTGAAGAGACGAAATGCAATTTTTTGGAAGTCCATCAGCGTTCCAGTGGGAATGATTTAATGAAACTTTCTAATAGAGTTGTTTTGAAGCATGAATATTGCATATATTGTTAATATTTATGAATTTTTCATTTCACTAACTTATACATATTTTTACTGTCATATAAAACGAATATTTTGCAGAATACGAATTAACAAATAATCAAAGAAACTTTCATCCTTCATTTCTTTTTGTGACAAGTCGATAAAGTCTTTCTTTTTCTTAATGTATAATTATATTGCCATCCATAGGCCATCTTCCGATACATTAAAATTTTCTCAATGTGTATCACGCGAAATCCGATTTGCAAAAAGTTAATCACTCATGGCGTACACGATTAATTCCTTTCAATAAATATTTTCTTAGTTACGCATCCACCTGCAGTCAACTCAACTCAAGTCATGTATGACTGAACACATATTGCTACGTCACTCTATAATTGCCTAAACGACTACGCCCATGCTCAGACCAGGTTATGCATATTGAATAAATTTTTATTTTGCTGTACAAAACGAAAATTACCGACAATTTTATTTATATACATTTTTATTTGATTTGCTATAATTCCTGTACAATTTGTTGATGCTGGAGATCACTGGTGAACAAATGCTCAGCCGGTTTTGCGTTTTATATGAATTGTATAGAAAACTTCGGACGTTCACACCGAGCATTGAAATGAAAGTTTAAATCATCTAATGAACCAGTTTTAAGATCTATGATAAATTATCGTTAAACTAAAACTTACTAAAGGCTAAATTATCTTTAGCAGGAAACGTTTGAGGTGTTATTTAGAATATTTTCAGCATAAGTAATCACTTTCTTGAATTAAATTAAAGTATAAGCTTCATAAATTTAGACTGCAAGCGTAAGAATGTCGGAGAAAATTTATTTACGCTTCGGTGGAGAAAATAAATATTCAAGACGCAAAAATTCAACGCCTCTGGCGATATACTAAGGAAGTTTGAAGCTTGCTTCAAATTGTCGAATCGAATACGGCTGCATTAAATCGCAACATTCATATTCACAAAGTCACAATTTATAAATAAGTTTTAGCGCTGCAGTAAAAATGGGTAAACAATTTTAAATTTTGAAGACCAAGCCCAACGGAATCCGAGCTCTAAATCTTTAGAGTTAAATTAAGCGCAAACATACAGAAGACCTAAAAGCTGTGCTCGTCTGACGTTGATCTTCCGAAAGCTACTAAAAAAACAGCATGGAAGTATTCGAAGCTCGGATACGATGGCTGCAATATTGCGGCTTCGGTTTTATAGGAAAAATACGATCAGGTGCCGTCAAAACACAAGATTACGAACCAGACCAAACTGGCTGGTGGCGTATCATATTGGCGCTGGCAGTCAAAACATCAGCGACACACACGGCTGTCTCAAAGCAAATAATAGTCTGGAATATATACAATCGAAATACATTAACACAATATTATTTTGACTCGGTATCGAGAAGGTTTATATGTTAAAAGAAAAGTGACCCTAAGATCCGACATTTATTCCTTTGGTGTTCAAACTAGGAGAAATAACCTCAACAAACGCATAAACTTTGTCTAGTGCACTTACCTATTTTGATTGGGAAATTTGCAGAAAAAATATTAAAAATATGTGCTGCTCTACGTGAGTACCATTAATGAGAATTAATGCATTTATCTCTAGAATTACTCTAAAAATTTTTAATCATTTAATTGCTGACTTCTTTATTTGTTTGAATTAATTTGATATTAATGAACATCCGGTGACTAGCAATCACGGTGCTGGGGCCACACTTTCAAAACTCGCTAAGTGAACGTAAGTACTTACGCTCTATTTTCTTATCTATGATTGGTGGATTTTGCTTGAAAGACCGTCAGTGATTGGCTGATGAACGTCCATTCTCTTAACTTTGTTTGAAAGTATAGGCCCTGGGGCCATATACTTTCAAAACTCGCTAAGTGAACGTCAGTACTTACGCTCTATTTTCCTGTCTATGATTGGTGGATTTTGCTTGAAAGGCCGTCAATGATTGGCTGATGAACTTACGATCTCTTAACTTTTTTTGAAAGTATAGGCCCAGGTCACATTAGTCTTCCGGATTACAATGAGTTACGGAGGCAATCAACATATTTTAAAAATAAAATTGTAAGAATATTTGTGCGGTGCGCATTCATGTGGCGCAACTATCAGAAACTTCACTTGGCAACGTGCTCAGGGTATGTTATGATTTACAAACCCGTTAGAGTTTCATAAAAATAGACGGTTTATATTTACCATACCATAACAAAATGGTTGAATGTTTATTCATTAAGTGTGTAATTTTGGCTAATTTTATAACAAAACTGGAAAAACCCCTCAAAAAGTCAACTTGATCGAGACGTGATGCGGAAATGATGATGGTGATCTCGAACTGATTCGACGGGAAAAATACTTCTCCGTCCAAAATTCATATTACTGGCATGGGGTAAAGGAGGAGAGCTCGATTGACTGGGTGGTGATGGTGAGCTCGACTCAGTTAAGGATGAAGGCCCCTAATATTGCATGATAATGTCACAACAATGTTGCACTGACTGGGTGGTGATGGTGAGCTCGACTCAGTTAAGGATGAAGGCCCCTAATATTGCATGATAATGTCACAACAATGTTGCACTGACTGGGTGGTGGTGGTGAGCTAGACTTCGTTAAGTATGAAGGCCCCTAATATTGCATGATAATGTCATAACAACGTTGCACTGACTGGGTGGTGATGGTGAGCTCGACTTCGTTGAGGATAGAGTCAGGACCCTGGCGCTCGGAGAGCTGTTTCCTGACGGCGTTCTCTGCGTCGTGCAGCGCCTCCTCGACGCTGGGCCGCGGTGTGTGCAAGGCGCGGCTGAAGCCCGCCATCCTCTGCACCGTCTGTAGGTCCTCCTCCAGGTTCTCGATCTCCTTCAGTAGCTTCTTGATGGCTTCATCGCGAGCTGCAGAAAAAAATGGATATAATATTTATACAAAATCAGAAGAAGATGAGGAAAAAATTTATCTACAACCATTTCAATCTTTTAAATGATGTTTTTTATTTGGTTCCAATTGATGTACTTAACTCTGACCTATTAACACCAACAGTACCGGATACTGACTAACAACTAATGAGATGAATGATTTTCTGAATTTAATGAATCGCTGGTTTCATAGACTATATTTCTGTTATCAGTTTTCTAATACAAGAGAAGTGTTCATGCGTTGCTAAGGGTCATGTCTGAAGATGAAAGTTGATGAATGGTAGGCTATATATAAAAGAACAAATGCCAAAATAATGAAAAAACGTAAAAATAATCATACTAATATTCTAATCATTAAATTTAAAGATGAAAATTGTATTTATTTCGAAATTTGGGAGATTTTCAACAAATTTTCCAGTAAATTTAAATGAAGTTTGAACTATGGAATCCTTGGAGCCTAAATATGCAGATTAGTTCCTTGCTACGATGAGCAATAAAGTTGGTCGACTGAAATATTGCTAAACTTGCCAGCGTTCTTCCCGCCCCTTTCGCAAGTTCCAGTAAGCGCTGTGACTATATCATTTAATATGAACGTAAGGTAAAAAATAAAATGCAACTAAATAAAGTGAGGATCGATGATCTACAGACATAAGCTTTCCAGTGTTATTCTCGAATATTGTATAACGTGCAGCCCCTACTTAATTTAATGACACAATTAAGCCTCCATGTGCAACGAAACTTTTATAAGCATTTAGCAGTCGTATAAATTGTATTACATCTAAGCCGTAGCTAATGTGCAATCAAGAATTGAATTATGATAGTTTTCCCATACTAGCACGCACCTGATGATGAGCTCGAGGGAAACTAATGCATCGAATTTTTTGTAGGTCGAATGTGCACTTTTAAAAAAATATTTATTCAACTAGCGGATAATTGATAAATCTGCATTCAAGTTAACTAGACTTTAATCTTTTAAAAATTTGACGAGCGTTTGATGCTAAGAACTACTTTAAAGCAGTTGCATTACCAAAAAAAAAAAACAGTGCAGTATAAAATATTTTGTCGAAGAACGACTGAAAAATAGATTGCTCATATCATCAAGACATCTTAATCAGGCCGAAATTTTTATTTAAATTATGTAAAATCTAATTCTAAAATCGTACCAAAAGAAACGTGTAACTCGTTACACTGTTAAGATGAAGTTGCTACGCGAGCAATAAATTGAAGCCCCAAGCTCACATGAACTGAGTATGAACGACTCTTTTCCATCAGCACCCGGTCCGATGGACCTGTTTCCATCAGCACTCTGTCCGATGGACATGTTTCCATCAGCACTCGGTCTGATGGACATGTTTCTATCAGCACTCGGTCTGATGGACATGTTTCCATCAGCACTCGGTCTGATGGACATGTTTCCATCAGCACTCGGTCCGATGGACATGTTTCCATCAGTACTCAGTCATGATGGACAATGCACTGAATGCCAGTGAATAAGGTCACCAAGTTGAGATGATCGTGTTCAGTAATGTTCGTTAGTGTACTGGTTGACCTCGCTTCAGATAAGAGTGGCTCTTTTGATCAGCTAATTATGCCTTAGATCAAGTCGACGTGGGAGTACAATAATCCTCATTATATAAAAGCTGTGTCGGGTACTCACATCTGGCGATCTCCAGGTCGTCAAGAGCAATAAACTTGAAGAGCTTGAGTTTGCTCACTTCCAGGAATGCCAGACTCAGCACCGTTACGGGACAACTGCAATAAAATCCTATGCTGTAAGAATTTTATATAGTCTGAGGAAGTGATGTCAGGAGAAGGTGATATCCCTGGGAAGGGATATCAGGAGTAAAATACACGATTTGACTACATGAAGAGAAACGTGGCATACAAAGTGAGCACAATAATATTAGAAGCGTGGTATAATTTCATGCGCGTTATTTCACAAAATATCATGAACATAATCGCGGCGCATAATGTAACCCAGTAACACAGAGTAGAACTGTTTAAATGAAAAAGAAAAACAGGATAAACCTGAGGAGAAAGACACACGAGCGGATTACGACCCACTCACTTGGAGATCTTCTTGAGGGCGCCGGTCCTGCGTTTGACGGAAGCGATGACGAGGATGTCGGAGAAGAGGAAGAGACATCGGTCCTTGCGACTGCCCAGCGCAGAGTGCATCGTCGCCAAGTCAACTTGTAGGAACGTTCTGTGCCGTCAACATCATCGAGGTAAATAAGATCTAAGTAATATCCATGCACCAGTATTTTCACACATGCAGAAATGCTGTGCGCAGTTGAAATAATCGCGGGAATATAATTTCTAAATATTTCCGTATGCATATTGCTAATTTGTTTGCACAATTATTAAATGCACATATGAGCGTTTTGCATCGTAAATTGGAGATTTTATGATATATTAAAAATATAACACCAAATTGCATTAAAAATAATAAACTAATTTGAAAAATATTTGAAAATACGAAACTAAAAACACACCTATTAAAAAAATGAGAGAATATACATATTTTTTCGACGGTACGAGCGCAATCGCCTAGAATTTTCTGCAAGCCCTATGAGTTCTTAACTGGATCATGGAGTGTTTATAAATCTATTTACTGTCATAAATACTTTAATATAGTGTAAAAATTTGAAATAAAAATCAATAAACATAAAATTTCTACCCTCATTTGAAGGCAAATGTTAAAACCGAGAGTATATACACGAAAAAACACGCAAGTAATTATCGACCATTAATTATCGCATATGCTCATTTTATTTTGCATATCAAATTAATCATTGAGCGTACATCGCGAGACTCTTCTTCAAAGTGGCTCCTGTAGGTAGCTAATAACGCATAATAATAATATTATTTATGGTAATCGTTGCATGCATTTATGGGGGGAGGGGAATTAATTCGGATATTTTGCTTTGAAAAATAAAGTTTTGTTCCTCACATAATCTATTATTTAGGTCAAAATACATGTACTAATACATAATGCATTTCGATGTTATTTTGATGGTTTAAAATAGATCATGCACACGTCACAGCTGATAGATTAGGATTGAGCTCCCTCAACGCAGCAAAGTTTAGGATTAAGCTCCCTCAACGCAGTAAAGTTTAGGACTAAGCTCCCTCAACGCAGTAAAGTTTTGGATTAGCTCCCTCAACGCAGGAAAGTTTAGGATTAAGCTCCTTCAACTCAGTAATAACTTGAAAGGTTAGCTCACCTGTCAGGTTGTACGAGTCCTTCTAGTCCCTCAATAACAGCCTCGAGGTCCCTGAGGATATCTTGCTGGTGCTCCTGCTGCAGCGCTCGCTTCTCGTGGTCGTTGATCTTGACGGTTACCTCCTGAGCCTTACTGAGGGCTTCCCCCAGCAGCGCGTGGTCAGGGTGGTCGTGTGGGGTGTGCTTCTGCAGCCGCTGTTAATTGTAGCAGGAAAACAGCAGTGAGACTAACTTCGGCTACTGACGTTGTGGAGAACTCATCACAATCACTGCACGCGCCCACTGTGGAGAACTCATCACAACCACTGTGGAGAACTCATCACAACCACTGTGGAGAACTCATCACACCCACTGTAGAGAACTCATCACACCCACTGTGGAGAACTAATCACACCCACTGTAGAGAACTCATCACACCCACTGTGGAGAACTCATCACACAAAAAATTATTAAATTATGCACGGTTTTTGAGGTTTGGTTTATATCATCCAGAAAAGCCGGCATCTGGCACCGCTGGCCGCAAACAATCGCATTGTCTTCAGCCACCATCCATGATACTCGTTCCGATATCGTCACTGTAATTAGCAGGTCTTGGTGATGTTCTGGACTGGAATATACTTTCGGTGTACTATCCTGTTGGCTCCCTATCTATGCCGTTGGTTAAAGACTGCGTCCTGAAGAGCTTTAATTAAGCTCGCTTGCCGTGATTTTTCAAACAAATGTACATTCAACCATATTTTCGTTTGTCTTTAATTAAACTTTCTTCAATTTTAGATCTCGTTCCCAATATTGCACGATTTTTCCTACAGGCTTACGAACATTTCTGCATTTGATATTTGATTTGATAGTTTGTGTGATAATTGATTAAAGAGATAATATAATAAACTGATAAATGATGATTGATGTAACTGACGACTGAAATAACTGATGATTGATTCAACTGATGATTGATTTAACTGATGATTGATTCAAGTGATGATTGATTTAACTGATGATTGTTTTAACTGATGATTGATTCAACTCATGATTGATTCAACTGATGATTGATTTAACTAATGGTCGATTAAACTAATGACTATTAAATTAATATTGATAAATATTATTTATTTATCTGATAAATGACTATTGATTTACGTGAAAAATGAACAGATAATTGATCTAACTTAGGACCAATAAATTTATCTAACTTAAAACTAAGAATTTATCTACCTTAGAACTGATAATTTATCTAATTATAACTAATAATTCATCTAACTTAGAGCTGATAATTTATCTAATTTATAACTGATAATTTATCTAACTTAAAACTGATAATTTATCTACCTTATAACTGGTAATTTATCTACCTTAGAACTGATAATTTATCTAACTTAGAACTGATTATTTATCTAACTTAGAATTGATTATTTATCTAATTTAAAACTGATTATTTATCTAACTTATAATTGATAATTTATCTAATTTATAACTGATAATTTATCTAACTTATAACTGATAATTTATCTACCTTATAATTGGTAATTTATCTACCTTAGAACTAATAGTTTATCTAACTTGGAGCTGATCATTTATCTAACTTAGAACTGATAATTTATCTAAATTAATACTGATTATTTATCTAACTTAAAACTGATAATTTATCTAATTTATATCTGATAATTTATCTAACTTATAACTGACAATTTATCTACCTTAGAACTGATAATTTATCTAACTTAGAACTGATAATTTATCTAATACGTATGAGTAACAGTAATAATTTTCTAACTCTATATGGCCTTAATTATAAATCAATTGAATATTATTCAGGAAATTATCAAGGAGCGTACGGACGAGAAAATTCGTGTGAATGGAGGGGCGGATCGAGCAGCTTGACTGTCTCTTTCGTGTACAGTTGCAATGGTTTAGTTTTTGTAATGAATTCAAAGATAAATTATCTGATTTATCGTTGTTTATATTTGTATTCGCCATGACGTTATTTTCGTCAGCGACGAAGGGAAAAACCAGATATGCTTAAGAATATGTAAGTATGCTTCTCCTTGCTGATTTTTAAAGAGAATGCGAAAAGTAATACTGATTTCATTGGATGTTTATGCATCTAACGCTAAGCTATAATAGAGGAAATTCAAATTAAAATGGTTCAAACGATTAATTTCTGAAACTAGGCAGAAGAGCCTTCAGACGTTGTGGCATTATTATGGTAATTAAAACGCATAACAATCATGCAAATGATTCAACTTATCGCCAGACTTAGATCTTATCCAGAACTCATATCATAAACAGCAGTTATCAATAACTGATTAGAATTTCAAATTACAGCAGAGTTCTCGGAAACTACCCAATTGCCTAAACAACCTTGTCTGGCAAGCAATGGGCAGCTGATCGCTTATCGTAATTGCATTTCCCGGAAGCGAAGAAGGTCTGGTCAATATGAGCCTCGTACGATGCAAGGACACAAACAAGGCGCAGAAGAACAAATTTAGCAAACAAAAGAAATTGATTTGAGTCTTCAAGACTATTCTTCTTCTCTTGGAGGCGCACCCGGCACGGAGAAAACGATGCGATCAGTTCCAAGGACTCAGCGTGACTAACGAGCGTCGTTAGTCTCACGACCAGGAACGGGGATCGGCTTGTGTTGTTGCGGATTGTGGTCTGTCGTTACAGAACCAATGCCAGTGGACCGAGCGGACATAACTCCTATCGTGGCCATAAGTAAGGATACACAAGAAGCAGGTGCAATCAATCACTCAAAGCCAACACTTTTGTTTCCGGTCTCGTAAAGAGATTGCTCCTGAGTGTTGAAAATGATCAACAAGTGAAAAAAAGAGATGATACTGTGACCGAAAAAAAATGTTCCATTCACTTACACCAAATATTAACCAAGAAAAATTCGAGTCATGCCAAATAGAATAACGTTCAATAAAACTATGAAATGAGTAATTCGGTTCTATTCTATTTGCACGTTCATTCCGGCAATAAGAACGAGTATGAAGTTTTCAGACGAAAATACACTGAAACAATGATGTGAACTAAGTCGTTCTCAAGAAAAGGTAAAATTCCAAGGTATTCTGCTAAAAAAATTCCCTGCACCTCTTGCAGAGCAGCCAAGATTTTGCTGAGCTTTTGAGAACGTGAGATGAGATAAGGGAGATAACTGCGCCGCTTAGTGGACAAGAATATCGATGAGGATGGATGATGATGAAACGTTCCAGAAACGAGGATTGAATTCGATGCCGGCTCCTCAAACTTTAGGTGGGGGGAATATTTACAATTCCCAACGCATGGGCAGACACTGTGAAGTATTTTGAAAATGAAATGTTATTCAGATTCTTAAATAAGATGTGAGCGAAATTTGACTGCAATCCCGATTGGCCGAAGCTTTGGATAAGCGCTCGGAAGGCAGGATTCCTACAATGATAGGTCCGAAATTTTTCAAGTAGTGCAGACATCCTTCAGACGATAACTTTGTAAGATCTGAACACAGGTAAGGAATAAACAGAAATAAATATTATATCATAAATATATTTATGTTAAGATATTATTTTTATATTATCGTCTAAAAGTTAAAATTAACCGGATAAAAATCCGTACCGTGATGATGCGGGCCGTTTTCAAGAAACAGTGACGATTCGTCACAGGCTCAGAACAGAAAGCCTTTGAGACGCGCGAGAGGCGCGACGGCTTTGGGCTGTCAACGACAAAGAAAAATGCCGCGCGAAGACGCGGGAAAAAATAAAAATGTGATGCTGCAAAAGCGAAAAGTAATAGAACAAGTTTCGTGAAATACTTTTTTTAGATACGTTCCTTGTCTCCTGACAAGTTTACGTATTTATTTTTAGTAAATAATAGCAGAATTTATTCTTGTATACAAGTTCGATAAAGACCAAAGTTCGATAAAAACAAGTTCGAACTTGTATACAAGTTCGATAAAGAGAAACGAGATATTCAAATATCATAACGTTCATTATCAGGTAATAAGATTGAAATCATGACTCATTTTCCTAGATGCGTGATGACACAAAATTTAAGAAGATATGTACAGCTAAATTCTGTCCCTGCCGGAATTATTTCTTAATAAAGGTATAGGATCAAATTGGATTAGAATAGATTTGAATCATGAGAATATTTTTAAACATTATGCCAGAAAAACACGTAAAATATGTTTAAAGCCATAAATATTATTCATTTATATACCATATTTTTGGCCGTCTGCGATTATAGATCACGATTCGACACTAATTCAGAAAAATTATCTAATCTCGAAATGGCTGAATTCATTCGTAGGTTTCACTAGAGTTCTGTTTAAATCAATTTCTCAATTATTTCATGTTTCTCTACTTGGCAGCAATTGTTTTTAGCGCTCCATCGATGATGTTATATTTCTATGCTGTAAATTTAGAAACTATCCAAAACGTCCTTACATCTGCAGTTCAACCAAATATTACTTATAGGCATATAGAGCAAGTTGGAAGAAAGAAGACGAGAACGTTGGGGAAAATCGTTTCCACAATAAAAATTCAACCCTGACTCCAGAGAATGTCGGTTACACAGAAGACTGTGGATGATGTAATTACAGTAAACATGGTTAGTCGGAAAAATATCGTTCATTAATTTAGAGTCTCAGAAAAACAAGAACATTTGGAAATGCGAAATAAACAAGGTTCATCGAACTCGACACAAAACTGAGCAGTGAAACCAACTAAATTTTTTTAATCAGTAAAATGAATGTTTAAAAAATACTCCTTTTTAACACGTTTTTCTTAGCTTAGCTTCGCGTTTGTTTGTTTGTTTGTTTGTTGTTAACATTGACAATGAAAATTAGCCCACTTCTGATTGTTCTAGAGATCTGAAATTCGGCATGCAGGCTATTTTCGCCTAACAATTTCAGATACAATCATAAAAACTAGTAATTAGAGACCTAAATTAGTTTAATTGAGAAAAGTTTATATATAGTATATATATAGTATGGCGTGCGGGCGCTCACGTTATAGACGAGCAGGCGCTAACGCTGCGTATCATCGATACGTACATCAAGTCATACTTAATCAAGTCTTAATCGTTTTTCTTGTGGACTAAAAAGCAGAAAATAAAATACTTAAAAAAACTTTTTAAAAAACCACGTTTTTCTTGTGGACTAAAAAGTAGAAAATAAATTATGGTTCGCCCCAAAAAAACGTGGGTCGGGCTGTACGTTCACCATCAAATTTCCAAAATTTTTTTTTTAAGTATTTTATTTAATTTTAAAACATCTAAAAAATGACGCAGTAGCAAAGCTATCATTTGGTATTAAAAGTTCAAAAGTGGTCGGCAAGTCTCACGAAATCCAACGGCCGCTAGCCGACACCTCTAAGATGTTTCCAAAAATTTGTTGAGATCGAACGAGGCTGCCACCTAACTTGTTTCAAGAATTGGCTGGTGAAAAATGAACTTGTTAGGAGAAATGAGCCGTGAAACTTTTCTTAAATCGATGAGAAGTTTACGGAGCTTCAGCGCCGTTAATCTCGAGTAAGCGACTGGCAAAAATGAGCAATGCAAATGCTCACCGAGACTCCATCAACTGCAGAAGATTTCCTAAGCCATGGGACCTAAGCCGTTTAAAACAATAATTATTCGGGTAACTCCGTGTGCCATTATTGTTACTAGTACCAACGACAAATCAAAGTTTTCAAATAAAATTGCTGGGACGAATATACAGAAAAATTCATATAATGATACCATTTATCCATGAAAATATAAGTAAAAAACCAAGCTGGCGCCGACTATTGGACTCGGAAGTAATTAATTCAGTTTATTATTATGTAAAAAATATCAGTAGCTGAGCTATATATTTAGTAAATATTTAACCTCGGTTAGATACTACTGAAAGAAAAACAACCGGCCGCAAACTGACGATCAAAATATCCGAAGAACCATGCAGGACCAAATTTCAGAACTGTCCTGTCTCAGAATCCTGGTGTTAAAATTGAGTAAGATGGCGAGGAATCTTGTTTATTTTTATACCTCAGTACAAAAAATTATTCCTGGATAATCTCACAAAATTAAATGACAAAATAAGTTCCCTAACATGAATAATTGCACAAATAAGTAAAATTTATAAAGAAGCCAAAATTAATATTAACGCAATGAAAATATTTCTGAATATTTTCCACGAAGTATTTCTCCATTGGATAAATTTATGCCTTTGTATATTGAATACATTGAATAAAGTGTTATTGTATGCATGCTTTTTAAAAACAATAGCTTTCCGTGTGATATCTCACTACAAAAGTCACTAGATTGCTTTAATCGCAGATTCACTAGAAATATAAAAGCGAAGAAAATACCACAAAAATTTAGCATATCTCTATTGAAAACGTAATATTGAAGCTTTACCAAATTGCAAATATCTCACTACGTTGTGAGCTCGACTTGCTGCTACCCAATACGTAAAACTTGAACATCAAAGCCACCACCAGGCCAGGAGCTGCATACATTGCTGCGCAATAATGTGGATAGTAGCTTCGTATGCAAAAATTTGAAAGGAAAAACTATCCAGGTCTGATTTTTGCACGCTTGCTCAAGCTTTAAGGCGCCAGAAGTTATTATTGCATGTTTATGATGTTTATGTATTATATTGATACTATTTATTTATGATCATAAAACGATACAAGTATCGATTAAGTGAGATTTATTTTATATTTCGCGACTACTTGTCTCGAAACTCTTTACCAAAGTGTTAAAATATAGAAAGTGTTGCTTTAGTTCTGTTTTAAAAGGCAGCAATTTTGAATGATATATATTTATATTATTTATAAGAAAAAATTTAAAAATATATATCTAAATATATGGAAGCGAGAAGTTGTGCGTCACCTTTAGTAGCATCTCGTAGTGAGGGAAGCGCTGCACGGGACTGATCAACAGCGCCTTCAGGTCCATCTTGCCTGGATGCTCCCGAGCCATTGCCTGCAATATTTAGTGGACGGTTTACATGCATTGTAAACATGTCATTGCCTGCAATATTTAGTGGACGGTTTACATGCATTGTAAACATGTCATTGCCTGGTAGAAGTAAATCCGCGCTTGAAATGTTACGTAAAAAAATTGTTTGTTTCCTGGGCTAAGATTCTGAGAGTCTGTGTATGATTTCCAGTGTGTAAAATTTTTTTCGAATTTCCTGAATTGGTCTTATAAAAAATCCCGGGAAAATTGGTAGAATGGTTTTTTAATTTGTCAACTTATATCAGTTAAATATGGCTTTCGATAATTAACTTGACTTGCATGGTATCTAATTGAAATTAATTAATCAATATTATCATCGAATAGTTTGAATAACTAACAATTATTGTTGAAAAATATTTATCTTATCTTAGAACATCAGGAAATTGACAAGTATTAATTAGAACAAAGCCATGCATTGGTCTAAATTTGAAGCTGACATATATGAACCAAGTTGTGTACATAAAGAAACAGAGATGCAATCAGTCGCTACAATCATTCAGGTTGCTACCAAGCGCGCGACCCAAACGATAGCACGGGCGATTCCAGACCTAAAGAGAAATTATTCGTTTTCTAGGCCGCAAGTTTCCTGTTTCTGAACAAGCCAAACAATCAATTTAATAAATTCTATAGTTTACAAGGACATATTATAGCAAATATCGCACAATTGTTGAAACATTTGCCTGAACTTTTCATACGGAATAAAAACATGAGAACATTAGGTACATAGTCGAATTATCTCGAGTACAAAATGGGAATAATTGTTTTCGGTCCCTGCAAGTTGACCTTTCTAATCTATGCAATTTGTTTTCATAATTAAAGCAAAATTCTATAGTTCTCCTAATTCTAATTTTTTTGGAAATTGACACCAAGAATGACGCAAACCTCCATATTATATACTCCGAAAAAGGGATATACATAATAATATACCCAATTAGTGCATACCCAATAATAATATACCCAATTCATAGTGCATTAAACATCGTGCTACAAGTTTGCATCGTGTTCGACAGCCTGCCACCGTACACGTGATGCCGTGAGGCGGAAGTGAGCCGTGAGAAGATAGGAGTATTATGAGTATAGAAATGCACTAGAGCTCTGTGAGTCGTAGCGCCACGAAACAAGGCTGTAATAAGTGACAGGCGTGTCGTTACACAAAACAGTGAGCTACACTATTTCACTCACCACCAGAAAGTCGGCAAATGCCGGCTTGGCAGCAGCCGCGGCTTTGGTCGCTTCCTGGGCCGCCTTCCAGTTCTTAGTGAAGCTCGTGTAGCTCCCCAGCACTGCCGGATCGCTCACCTGGTAAGATTAGAAAGAACGTTAGACAAATCCGATGAAAACCAAACCCATGCATAAGACATATGATCTTGAATCAACGTTGAATTAAACATTTTTTCGATTAATCAACGTTATATAAACGTTGTTTCGATTAAGCAATGTTATTTAAACGTTATTTCGATTAAGCAATATTATTTAAACGTTGTTTCGATTAATCAAGGTTATTTGAACGTTGTTTCAACGTCATTCTTCTGCTGGGAAGTGAATGCTGACCTGCTCATGAGCTGAGATGTGTTGCACGTGCATTGTTACTCTACAACGCAAATGGTCTTGAACACTGAAAAATCAATTTTAAATGAAGAAGAGAATGGAGAACGTTGATGTAGAAGAATGACAGCGATCTGTCGTGGACGAAACGTTGGTGCAAAAACAATATTTAGTTTAAACTTGAACGTTTTTGATTGACCCTTTATCTTGTCAGAAGTCATCCAAATCTCTCATGTGTACAGTAGAATATAAATGGGTGTGGCAGTAATCTTCGCCCTCTGACAGTAATATGGTCGGTAGAAACCGTACGTATCTTCCCGGTGATCGTCGAATGGTAGGCCGGTGATCAGGCTGAACTTGGGACCTCCTATCGCTCGCTCCACATTCTGCGCGGCCACAATGAACCTAACATCGCCGTCTCCAACCTAACATCACCGTCTCCAACCTAACATCACCGTCTCCAACCTAACATCGTCGGCTCCGTGGCTTGAACTTTCGACTGTTATGAGCCAGCGTGTTCAGGAATGAAAGTCTAAAATAAACAGCGTTACTGGAGCGAGACAGGAAAATAACAACAAAAAGCTATGGAAGAAGATAAGGGGCCCAGAAATAAAATAATGAATGGATGTTGTGTTTAAATTCCCTATGGAGGATTTACTAAGAGATTGCTTGAATGATGGCTGTGGCAGTTAATGCCGTAAGCATACCAGGGGTCACGAACTGCGACTGCTCCGCAGAACGCAGCGCAAGGCCACAGAAATAACCTTAGCAAAGTTGAGCAGGTACAAATATAAAAAAATCGTTCAAAATACTCACCGTGTGTATTTTCTCATGTATTTTTGCGATCAATTCTCTTTATGATGCGTCAAAAGATAATTGTAGCAGAGTCAAAACTATTTACATATAATTGAAACGTATGTGAGCTCGCATGTTCTTATTGAGATTTCATTGAGATTTTGAAATTATTCCAGCTCAAATAACGAGAGAATAAATTTTGAATATAGAATTCAGACGCTTTGAAGACTGGAAAGTATTTTCACGTTTGAGACGCGGCTTCATACACGAAATTCTCAATCATTTTTCAATTTGCCAGGAGTGAGCCTGACCCATTTAAAAATTTAGAATTTTCAAGGAAGTTCTCCCAATCCCCAGATAAAGCGGATGTGGAAAAACATCGCGGAATCGTTTGAATTTCTTGGAATTACGTATAAGGCCGAGATTTTGAAAAAGCTTGCTGATAATACCGAATAAAAACATGATCATTTTATATTTATATAGACAAGGCAGCATCCTATCAAACGACCGGAATTAGTTAAACTTGAGATCTTAAAATATAGACGCGCAAAAATTATTACAGGGGAAAATTACATTAAGAATAACGATGGAATTTCAACCATTAACTGAACGAATTATATTTGGTTTCGTCATATCTACCCAAATATAATCGTCATATCTATCGCAGACAACTTTGATTTACCACACTTCAGTGAAAGAAATAACGATTTATTACTTACGATTTTGTTAATTGATGGCAACTATGAGTACGAACTCTCAACAGTCACAAATTCAGTCTTCGATGGCCTTATTCAAGTACTTCGACATTATTTATCTAACAAAGAGTTAGCTATTTTCCCCATGCTAATAGGAGGATTTTTCTCTGGCTCATGCGAATTTTAAATTAAATTACAAGAGCACCAAAAAGTACCGTACTTCAGAGCTTTTCCACCAGATTTATTAGTAAAAAAAAGAAAATCAGACATTAGTTTCGCCATTAAGGTGGACTGATAGTTGGTCAGACGAAACAAACTCGGCTTATCTAAAACATTGAATCCAGGACCAACGTGATTGACGCGTTTTATCGTTGCGTTTTCGCCCCTGACTCTTTCAATGCCATCACTTTTTAGAGGCCCGCTCAAAGCTATCGCCTCACAAAAGCAGTACGCGCGACCGACTCCAATGAGATTCGCACCTTTCGCAGAATAAAAAAAAGAAATAAGCGGCAAGTCTGCTGACTTGAGTTTTGTTCTTGGTGTTGGGCGCCGGTTGTCAGAGCAGGCGCGCGGTAATCAGTGGCGACGGAACTCTATGGGCGCCTCTATGCCAGAATACTCACAAGCACATCAGAGCTTCGTGTGTGCGTGGAACAAAAGACCCGGGAAAAATGTTATGGCTAATGATATCTGGATGGCTAATGATGCGAAATCTGCATGAAGAGTCGGGAATTGTCTGCTGAATTCCAAGTTTAAATTAAATACACGAATGCTGGAATGGTTCGACAATATACAAATTTTTACGTTTATTGCATAAAATAAAAGTGAACCAGATTTAAATTTATTAGAAAATTTAAAATAACGTAAACTGGATTTATTTGTAAATCTTGTTACGGAGGGAAAACTTGGCACAATTTCACCAAGGTGGCAGCAACTAAATCTGTCGGCATTGTCCTGAGTTAAAAGATAAATGAAGCTTATGATTCAAACTAGTCGATTCATATTAATTAACGTCGTGTCATACAAACTACCCTACATAACTATATACGAGTAGGTTCTATAAAGTGACGCTAGTAGATTTAGCTCGTATATGACTATCCCATACGGTATTATGACGTTGTTGAGAAACCCCCGCCAATTAACAATTTATTTATTGTAAGAGGCATTGTTGGATATGAGGTTCAGTACAGACCATAATGCACTGAAGTCAGCGCTTTGAGAAGAATGAGGTTGCAAATGCAGTTGTCAGTCAAATCTTCCAGGCTATATGTGGACTTTGGCACTCAAGCAGCTAAAAATTTGTCATTTCTATTTCACACTGAAGGCTAGAAGCATACAAGCTTGTTTTGAGACGTTTCCCCCGCTACCAGCAACTAACAACTATCTTGTAGGTGAATTGAAGATTGTTAAAACGCAACTATCCGTACTACTGCTGAGCTGACATTTGAAGAAAGAGTTTACCTGTTTGAGCACGATATGTACTGTCAGCCGAGCATATGGCATACGAAGAACCTCCAGTAATTTGTTAAGACAAAATTATTTATTGTCTTGTTAATACCTGATTTTCATCGAATATTAATATTGGGATAATAAAGATTTTGTTATTTATGATATCACGCTTCTTGTATTGAATTCCAGAAACCAATCAATAACCCAAAAGAAACCGTGTTTTTATTTCCTCCGCGAATTAAAGACTTCGTAAGAAAATTTTTCACAATGATCTTTCTGTACGAACCGTAACTTGAGTGAAATGAAGCTTTGAATCACAAGTAATTTAGATGAGATCTCAGCTCGGAGGTCGAGCTCTCTAGGCTCGTTCCCAATAACCGCTGTCCAATTAGGCGGGTCATATTGCTAATTGAGTATGCGTACTCGGACCCATTGTAACCCGGCCGGAAACTTCAGCAGGCTGTCTGAGACCAAGCATGCAAACATACAAATGATAACAAATTTTGGTTCACGTGACGTAGCCGCATCTTTTTTTGTAATGAATACCTAAATTGTTCTAAAGTATACAGGCCAAGTCAGAGAGGCGATATATGGATCTATAGTTGTCAGGCGCTCCTCGATCAAAGCGGCTTGCAGCAGAACTGAATGGATTGGTACAAGGGAATTTTTGAAGTCAGTCTTTGAAGAATTTAATGACACGTCTCATGCAATTAATGAACGTACATGTTCTCCAGTGTCTTTATAGTTATTATTAAATAGCGTTCACCATTAAAGTGCTCACCATTTTGTGTCTACCTTAAATGATTTTTTAATTTGAATACTTCATGAATACTTTTTTGAATTGAATGTTTCTGATACATTAACTTGGAGCTAGAGATTTGTTGGATTAATAATTGGCAACTTTCCGGTAATTGACTTTGACTTAACTTGAAGAATAATGAGTGAGAAGAAACAAATATCTATTGTATCTAATGACACTATAAGTGCATAAGCGCGATAAAGATTTCAGGGATAAAAAATCACCCCCCAGAATAAAGCGGTAGTCTACAATATAGTGGGACAACATTCATCTTGGTTACAACAGGCCGTATTCAAGAAAATGTTTACACGTCAAATATAACAAAGAATGTAAATATTAGATAGTTATTTGTTTGATTTATTGATACGACGGAAGAAGAAGAAGCAGAAAAACAATGTCTGTAATTTAGAGATGTCTGGAGACGGAGAAGCGGCACAGGAGACAGTATGAACAATTTAAAATTTGACCCGCAGTTTCTAAGCAGTTGAAGCAAGAATGAGTAGAACGTCTGATCTTTTTATTATGTAGATGAATATATTTGAATGAGATTACAAATTCTCCGGTAATTTAGTACTGATATGCATGAAACGTAACACTTTCTATAACGATTACTAATCAAGAGCAGTAATGGTTGGTTTACAACAGTAGGGCGTATTTTCACAATTCTATGTCTTGATCGAGGTTACATAGAAATTCAGATGAAATTTAAATTTCCAGATTTTACGACGGAGTACAAAAAGTTTATTTTATTACTTTCATTCAGTTTTAAATTCATGTTGAGCAAATTCTGTCGCACGCACTCTCATCTTGGGTCGTGCAGTTGAAGATTTTTGAGATACTTCCAAGCTGAAGCAGGAAGTAATTTTCGATGCAGTCACATCGCAGTGCAACGCAAATGAGAAGCTGTCGAGCATGTAACGATGTCACGAATGTAGCGAGTGCTGCCGCTGCTAAAATGTCACGAATGTAGCGAGTGCTGCCGCTGCTAAAATGTCACGAATGTAGCGAGTGCTGCCGCTGCTAAGATGTCACGAATGTAGCGAGTGCTGCCGCTGCTAAAATGTCGCGAATGTAGCGAGTGCTGCCGCTGCTAAAATGTCGCGAATGTAGCGAGTGCTGCCGCTGCTGACTGGCGCTGTAGCGGGTCGCATTTTCTTTGTATCGTCACTGTGAGTATCGTATATTGGAAGTATGAGGGGTTTCAAACTTACTTCGGAAATTCACTCCCAGAAGGTTAATTGACGTAGTCGTTGTATGACAAACGGAAAAGAATCAAAACCGATTATTGAAGATTGGGCGAAATAAAAAAAAATAATGCCAGACCACTTGAGATTTCCACCAAATCAGCCGAACTTCACAGAATTCAACAATCCGACTTTGGCATGGGTCTCAATACCTTGCTCGAGGTAATATAATCTATAGCAGCCCAATGAAGTCTACATAGGCAAAACGTGAGTGCAAACCTCGTGTGGGTGCATAAAATAATCTACCACAGGATTTTATTTTATTTCTTCTGTCATCCATTGGAAACTTTCTGCTTCATCGCAAGAGTATATATCAGAACCTGGGAGACGCTCAGGACGACCAAGAAATGAAGACGATTAACATTTAGTGATAAATCAGAATTTCAAGGAATGCTTGTTTTGTTCATGCAACCATTTCTTCTCATAGGACCAGTCTTCTGATCTTCTCAAAGACTGATTAATTGAACTTATTGATCAAACTTTGATTGATTGAGGATATCATGAAACTCGAATAAGGGATGAAATAAAGTCATGAAGATGAAGGCTTAAGGGCTACGCTGCAATTGCAGAAAAAATTATGAATCTAAATATTAGGTATATAGTATAAAAATGTAGTTTAGGATAACAATTCAAAATGGAATCATATACCAATCAAAGGAATCAGAGAAAATAACTTTTTGCTGCAAGAGTTAAATCTCGGTTTTCTCAGTGCTAAAAGTATATGAATCATTTAAACTCATTACCAATTCAATTTCTTCACTTATATTCAGAAACCACATACTGAACAGTTGCCGACAATATATTCTTTCTAATTTCAGCTGAATACATTAGCTAGTAGGGATTGCCAGCAACAGGAACTTAGAAAATTAATTAAAAAGCAAAGAAAGAATTTGTAGTCAAAACTCACAAAATTATAGATGACGTCGCCGACGCACATGTTGGACTCTCTGGCTTCTATGCGACGCCGAAACTCCTCGAGGAACCTCTCGTGGTGTCCCAAAATGTCAGGCACCTGCAAAATGAAACACAAAATAATCAAGAACCGTATTTTAGAACACGTAAAGTACGGGCCCGGTTCATTAATTTAGTTTTTATGTATTCATCATATCAGGAGAGCTTGGTAGGAGGTGAGTGGGTTGGAGAGTGGGCGAAGAACCCGGTCCCCTATTCAATTCTACGAATCGATCTTATTCGATCCCAAATTGCACGAATAAGTTCCTCAAAATTAAAGATCAAAGGTTTCTAAAGTGTGTTGGATTTATCCGATTGCGAACGATTTATTCCAAAAAAAAAAAAAAAAAGAAATTCAAGAAAGAGGTTATTGGTAGGATCTATATCAACATTATCCGATTAAAAGACGATTCTGCTTTTAATTATATTATTTATGTGCCAGGAAAACTCATTTTCTTCTCTCTTAATTTAGAACCTGCAAGAAATGCTCTCTCTTTCTCAGCTGGTTAAGACAATTTTAGTCAAATTAAACAAGTATGAGTGTCAATATGAATAGAGAGAGTAATTATGAACGAGTTCAATTTATTGCCGATTTCCAACGCCATAATTAATTTACATGATCTGGAACTCGGCAAAACGTAATTCAGGTAGACACACAGCACATAACTAACATTTGATAATGCAGTGACCAAAAGATTAAAAATGTAACTCTGCGTTTAAAAAAATTCCATTACAAATAACTATAAGCTAGACAAATAGTTGCATGTACATTCACAACAACTAACTAATATCTTGATAAATGGATTCCTATTGTCTCTTCATGTCATGTCTTTGAAACACGTAATTTAGTTGCACAAAACATAATACAAGGAAATGTTTGCAAGCTAATACTTTCGGCTCGAAAGTTCGTGAAAATGCACGCATTGCAACGCTTTATAATTTCGAGTATCTCACTGTCGCGGTATTTTATTTCATTCATTAGGTAAATAAAAAAGTTAATTTTGAAAGTCTTCTCATCTCGAATTTATCAGACACAGAAATATATTTATACAGGTATGTTCATATACCCTTTCTATTCCATTCTTATGTAATAGAAGAAAGTATTTTGTTTTCATTGGCAAAATTTTGGAGTAGAATCGAGGAAATTTTAATTCATTTGAACTTTTACTATTAGTTTCTCAACACACATAATATAATTGAACAGAGCTAAGATGGAAATATTTCAAACTTTCGCCACGTTAGATGAGTACGCAATCGTACAAATGACAAAGGCGATAATATACCGTCGCAACGGGAGAAAAAAAATGCAAGAAACATGCTCGCCGCCGCAGTTCATCTTCGTTTAAAGCATCACACAGAGGAAAACTCGCTTTGAAAATACAACAGAACTTTGCAAATAATTATTTGGGCTGGGCACGCATTCATGGGCAAGCAAATGAAAGACTTTTGGTCGTGTATTCAATCGAATGGGCCGTGTTTTGCTCCAGTCTCGATGAATGAAAAGCTAAACAAAAAACTGTCACAGGTTAAAACGTATAGCTGAGACCTACTTAATCATCACCTGATAGAAATCTACAAAGCACTGGAACGCATTTTACCGAATCCAGGATACAGGAACTCGGCATCACGTTAATGAATTTGCTGGTGTTCAAATGTGGTGAGAGTCCACTTTTTGTTCAGAAAGCAGATGATGCAGATGCAAAGTTTTCCTAAATTATATTCACTTTCTCAAATACCGCATTTAAGTGTATGATCCCTGATTGATGGATGAGATGGTGCTGCTGCAGGCCGATGTACTGAGAGCCATCGTTTGGGAAATTCAGGTTCATCCATCATATTAGTTGAAGGTGAAATTGAACGCGAGCTTTGAGCAGCTCGTTTTCTGACAAGTGGTCTTTGTCGATGGCGGACTGCGAGGGGTAACATTCAAGTACTAGCCTCCATTGTTGTACTATTGAGAGGAAGATTTTTAAATGAAATTATTTTTAGTTGAAATGCTCAATTTATTTCATTTATAATACTTGAACTTGAGACAGAAATGTGAACAGGTTGCCGCACCCATATATTAGAGGCCAACGGGGTTTCTCGTGTTCCCGCTGATTAAAATTAAGTAATGGAGTAGCCTCTGACGCACAGTGCCGGGATTCAGCTAGCAAAGTCTATAAAACAGTTTGCAACAAAATTTATATTTGTTTATAGATCCGTTCCAGAAGGGGAAATTTATTTTAAAGCATATTCTTTCTACTTCCGTCCATTAGCTCGCAAACTGTCTTTACACTATCAGGTGCGCAACATTAAGGGCCAAAATCAATAAAGAACGTCGTTTAAGAAATTTTGGAGCTATAAGCGTCTGAGATGCGCTACACTGTCCCATTCATGAAACACGTTTTACACTTCCTCATAACCATTCATTCAACACGACTCATCGCTTCGTGTCCCATTCATGAAACGTGAAACACAGCCTCACGTCTCAGCCACGAAACATGCTTCACGGCTTCGTGTCCCATTCAGGAAATACTCCATATAATACTTCGTATCCCATTCATGAAACACGTAATTCACTAATTCCTCATATCCCATTCATACAACACGAAGCATCGCTTCGTGTCCCATTAATGAAACATATGTAACAGAGCCTCATGTCTCATTCACGAAACATGCTTCACGGTATTAGGTCCCATTCATGAAATACTCTATTATACCTCATGTCACATTCACGAAGCACGCTACACGTCCTCATGGCAAATCCACGCAACACGCTACACAGAGCGGGATATGAAAATACATCAGGACGACATACACTTCCTTTCCAGCAACCGCAGTGTTTTATCATGCTAAAAGCTTGCCCGGATAATGCTATCGAGGCCGTGGCAGTTGCTGTCAGATAAGTCACAAGCCTAAGCCCCAATTTCCGTAAAATATCCCGATTCTCAGGAGTTTTTCTGTCTACAGCCCCCCCAAAAAACTTCCCCATGCCTGAGTGGTGAAGTTCAAATTGCAAATTAGCAAATTTGAAGTGAAAGAGTAGACTCTTCGAGTATTTCACTCAGTCACATCGTGTTCCAGGCAGAAAACTCAACAAAATATAGCGAATGCGTCAATAAATTATAATAATAGGTCGATACTGGCAATCACCAACTCACGAACGATAGTATTTACATGCGTCGTAATGTGAATCAGAGTGACTCACTTAGTTAGGTGAGTGAGATGCTTGTCTAACACAACAGTGGGGCCTGAGAGAATGAACAACCTTGTCACATCTGAGTCGCATTTGCCTGCGCGTGTTCTTGACTGGCAATCAAGTTTACAAACGACAATTTTTTATGCAATAATAAATATAACCCCGGTAAAATACCAGACTTGTAAAAACTATGCTTGCATGCACACTATATTTAAAATAATTATTTTTAAAAATATTTTCTGATATATCCCGAATCGAACAAATATAAAGGTCGCCTTCTAGTAATGCGTCGATCCATTTATACATAGAGGCTTCACCCATTTGAAAAATTATACTTTCGGATCAAAAATCTAGGCAAGTGAATAAGTTGAGAAGAATGGCAAAGTCCGCCTTGCTTCTTCAAATTTCGGTCATAAAACCATGCAAGTGTACAATTTGAGTTCAAAACCAATTCCAACGAGTTTTCAATGAATATTAAATCATATTACATATTATTCATATTTATTCAAATCATATTATTACAAGGTAGCCGTCAGCATCAGATTTCAACCTAATCGGAAGTCTCACTAATTTGCGGGGTAATTGAGACAAATTCGAAACTTGACTCGACGATCTCAACTTTTTTCGTCAATTTCCGCTTTGTTCCGCAAATTCGCCGCTAGTCTGCTTTAATATTCAGTTTATCTAAGGAAGTTTTCAAATTTTTCCTCTCTTGTGTAGTGTAAGCGACTTGTACGTTTTAAAGCATTTCGTACAGTAGTCGGTACCACAGTATTTTGAGTTCAAGCTTCCCAAGTTTTTTTAGCGCATTTTCTCATTTATGAAAAAGCCTCTATTGTGCTCGTCATGTCCGACCATCCGTCTGTCCGTCCGTGGCTTCACGTTTTCGTCGACGAGAAAATGCAGCTGTCACTCACTGCAGTGAGTACCGAGTTATATTTCTTACTAATTACGCCGAGGCTTGCGTTTGACAGAAAATTAAAAAAAAATACATATCATAATTATTTAAATCGCTCCACTACATCGCACACAATTGAATGACAATCACCGTTAAAAATTAAAGGAATTTAAAAACAACAAATATGCACAACTTGATAATATCTCCTTAAACGTACCCTATATCAAATACTTTGCAGAGCACAGGACAAAATTCTTTTTGATGCAATGTTTTCCCGTAGAGAACTCAGCCAAGTTCAGGTCAATATTCTTACTCGCGTCAAATATATTTGATTCAGATGATCCTTTGCCTGTACAATATAGGACGACGTGTAGCTCATGCGGAAGTTGCTGGCAAAATCGACCTGCAGAATGCGGAAGCTTCTGCCCTCCTCTTTCGAGTTTCAGCTTTACTCGTCTCTCTTCTCAAATCCTGTTTTATTCAATTAAAAACGTGGTATTCATTTATTAAAAGTGATACAATGAAAAAAATTCGCATTCGCATCTTTTCAAAATAGTATAATATCTAGGACGATACTGTCATCATATTTTGCACAAACTCCGCTTGCATAATTTTTGAGCGTAGGAACTATTGTAGCTTCAAGTTTATAGCATGCGCATTTGCTGATAGGCAACATGCACTCCAATCGGTTAAAAGCAATGAAACATTACGTCTATTGTAATACTGTGATTCGTTCAATTTGCTGTCATGGAATGTACATAGAACAGGAAATTCCGGCTGGGCGCAGAATCCACTGCAGATTTTCAGGATATATACTGTAAGTAGGGCGCTTTTTTAAGAAGGCAGCTAGCCAGGCTCAAAGCATTTCTAAAGCATTAGTTAGCGTTAAACCTCAAAACTTGAATTGACGACGATTTACTTGCATTTAAGTGGGCGTTTAATTAGGAGAAAGAGACATGAAAGCGAAACATTATATTTGAAA